TTGCTTTAGTTAAAATTGTTTCATAAAATGTGTAAATTCATGTAACTGGTGCCAGAAGAGTATAATATGTTGTAGGATGCTGAAGGCAAGTACGTCAAGGTGCCACTGGGGGTGCGGGTGGGGGTGCACCTCTCCCTCCCCTCAAGAGAACGCCCGTCCCTATAGGTCACTCCATATCCTGTTCCGTTTCCGGGGACCCCAGCATTTGGGAGATGGAGGGAGGTGCCGCCCTTCCTAGGGAAGCTGACCCTCTCTCCTGAGCCAGTCTGGCCTGAGAGGTGAAAGGGGTGATGTGCTGGGAAGCAAGGAGGGGGAGGGGGCTGGGAAGAGAAAGCCCAGCCAGGGCCAGAACAGCAGCAGGCAAGCCCCCGAGCCTCCTTCTGCTCCTGCCCGCTTGGCAAAATCAAAGCAGGAGCCTCGCTCTGGGCGCCCGGAGCTCGTTAACAGGACTTCCACCATATGGATTCTGGGCGTGTTTCCCACCGGCAATATGGCGTCCATTCGCCGACACGAATGACCACAGCTCATTACTGGCCGCTCCACAAAGACTTCCTCCGTGTGGTGGCTCCCCGGGGAGACTTCCTCTCCAGGGTGGATGGAGAGGTGAGGTCACTGCTGTTCTTCTCCATCTTCCCCCCCCCACCCCACCATGTGCCCGACGGGTCGACGTCTCCTTTGTATGTGTCAGCCCTGCTGAATTATTAGGGTCCTCCTGGGTGCACGTGAGCCCTGAGCAGTCCAGACACCTCATCTGGACATTCCAGGATGCTAATCAAGCACTTTGTCATCTCAGCCGAGGCCCATGTGTGCTGCGCTTTGATGTGGTGATGCCGATGTGGGAACGCAACCCACTCTGCGCAGTAAGCAGCATGCCGGCCAGCCCCAGGTTCTCTTAGTTACCTGGCGGCACAGGCAGGTCCTTGGGGGTGGGGGGGGGGGGCTGTTTTAACCCTGAGCCTTTTCCTGGCTGATCGTCTCCAAGCTTCAGCCTGTACATCCTTCCCTACCTCCGTATCCACTTGACCTGACCCCAGGAAGGCATCCCTGACCCTCAGACTGGATTGCGTCCCCTAGCTATGCACTTCCCAGGTGTTCTTCCTCTAGCAGAGCACTTACCACATTGCAGTATAATTTCTGGTTTGTTTTTTTTTAATGTTTATTTATTTTTGAGAGAGAGATCATGAGTGGAGAAGGGGCAGAGAGAGAGAGGGAGACACAGAATCTGAAGCAGGCTCCAGGCTCCGAGCTGTCAGCACAGAGCCCAACGCGGGGCTCGAACTCATGAACCGTGAGATCATGACCTGAGTTGAAGTCGGATGCTCAACCGACTGACCACCCAGGCACCCCTATAATTTCTGTTTTTTTAGATCTATATCCCTTATGTTCTTTTGAAGTTAAAGATTTTTGCCTGTCATTAGTCCTGTTTGCTCTCTGCATGCCACAAATGATGGGACACCATGGGCTCACAATCATATCCAGTGAATGGAAGTTTGATAATATTACAGGGTTGGCAAGGGTGCAGAGGAACCCTCACTTTTGCCTTTTGTGGAAGTATCAATTGGCGTATACTCTTTAAGGGACAATTTGGTAGAATCTGTCAAAATTCAGATTTCATTCAGCAAAATATTTTCTGAGAAACCATCCTACGCATGTACACACATATGCACAAAGAAATAAATTCAAGGTTATTCACGGAAGCATTGCTTATACAGCCAAAGACTGGAAATAATCTAAGTATGTTATGATACATCTATACCTGGAATATTACACAGCTATGAAACAGGAAGCAAGTCAGTATGGGCTGACGTGAACTAATCTCTAAATACACTGATATTTCAAGCAAAGTACAAAACAGTATGTATACAGTAATTTCCTGCTGTTCGTTCATTCATTCGTTCTTTCTTTTTTAGAGGGATATGTACACATATGCTTGTATATGCTATGCTTATACAGGCATAGAACACTAGGGGAAGAATACACACTAAATTGAAAACAAGGCTTTTCCCTGGAGAAGATACTAGGGCAAGGTGGGAACAATCACTCATTGTCACTATTATCCATTAACTTCTTTTTTACAATGCATGAATTTTTTTTTCAATTAAAAAGGTCGATGAGGGGCGCCTGGGTGGCGCAGTCGGTTAAGTGTCCGACTTCAGCCAGGTCACGATCTCGCGGTCTGTGAGTTCGAGCCCCGCGTCAGGCTCTGGGCTGATGGCTCAGAGCCTGGAGCCTGTTTCCGATTCTGTGTCTCCCTCTCTCTCTGCCCCTCCCCCGTTCATGCTCTGTCTCTCTCTGTCCCAAAAATAAATAAACGTTGAAAAAAAAAATTAAAAAAAAAAAAATAAAAAATAAAAAGGTCGATGAAAAGTAAAACATAATGAATACGGCACAAAATAAATGTTGTTGAATGAATGAATGTAGCACTGGATTTCAAATGTGGCTGTGTCCTGCTAAGCCTGGGAGCAATTAAAGCATAGAAACACTCCCCCAGGGGTACAAGGAATTGCTTCACTTAAAAAAAGAAAGCAGTCATCACCAGCTGCGGCCTGTGGAGGTGCTTCCAGAGGAGGGCGCCCCAGCTGGCACATGGACCTGGCAGGCCAGTTCCACGGCAACTGGTAGAAAGTGTCTCCGGTAGGAAGAGTCAGTTCATATCTAGGGGAACATCTATGGGGCTGGAGAAGAGAATGAGTTCTTAAGAAATGAATAACTACAGGGTTGTGGCAAGCTCGTGGCATTCGTCAAAGCAGCAGAGCCCAGGGTTTTATTTCTGCACAGGGACGATGTGATACAGTGGGAATGGTCCTGGAGATGAGTCAACATCATTCCTGGCAAGTTACTTACCTCCTCTGGGCCCCAGCGGACTCATCCGTACAAGATGAGTAATAACTCATCAGGGTTATTATCGGTGAGATAATATAGCATGGTATAACAGGGTTATAGCATCGGTGAGAGACTGCAGAGCCTCGGGGCAGTGCCCTGGTCACTGGCAAATGTACAGGGCATGGGAACCAACCAACTGGGTGGGTCTAGGGAAGCTTCCTGCCTTCTGTGGGAATCTGTTTTCTCTTCTATAAAACAAAAGGTTTGACTAGCCCAGTGGGTTTAACTTTTCTGAGTGGAAACAGCTTTGAGAAATTGGTGAATGCTTTGGACTGGCAAGTCCAGAAAAATGTACATATGCCCCCTCGCTACCTCAACATTTGCAAACAATTTCATGGGGTTCCTGGATTCCAGGGAACCTTCTGTGGACTCAAGTTGAGCATTCCTGGACTTGTCTCTCCGAATACTAATATTCTGGTCTAAATCCTAGTAATACGATTCCAGGTCAGCTGTATAGATGAAAGCCAGATTAAGGAAGCAGGCAAAAAAGGAAGAAAAAAGAAAGCACACTTAATGTATTCTTGCTGGCGTTGTTAGAAGTGTGTGCCTGTGTGCTAGTCTCGACGTATTCTCTCATTTTTCCATAGATGACACATCAGAGGGTTAGAGAGGTTGAAAGTTTTGGCTGAAGTCATACAGTTTTCAGAAGGGATTATGTAATCAACCAGTACGAAATGAAATGTATTGGGAGTCTCTGTGCCGGCCTCTGGGTATATAGGGTAGTGAACAAAATAGTTTAGGCTTCTATGCCCACGGGGTTTTCATCATCCAGTAGGGGAGACAGAAGCCAACATTTCTGTAAATTCTTCTCTCTTTCTCTCCTTGGCGAGAAGTTTAGTAGAGAGGGGGCTGAGGCAGTGAATGAAGGAAGATGGGCAGTCAGGAAAAGTCTCTTAGGAGGAGAAGGCATTGATGCAAGGAAGGAGGCAGCCTTTTGAAGAGCTGTGGACAGTGGGGAGAGCGTTCCACTCAGGGAGAAAGCCCTCTGATGCAGGAAAGAATGGTTTATGTAGCAGACTGAAATTTGGCCAACGAAGCTGGGACATAGTGGATAAGGGGAAAGGTAGTCACAACTGAGGCCGAGGAAGTAGGCAGAAGCCCGATCACATGAATCCTTGTAGGCTATACTACAGAGTTCAGATTTTTATTATAAGCAGTATGGGGTGATGGAAGCATTTTAAGCTAGGAAATCTAACTTACGTCCTGAAAATACAGGCTGTTTGGTGTAGAGTCAATAACTGGGAAGTAAGAAGAAATGTCTCTATTATCTCAGGGGTGCTCAAAGGGATTGGTACCACCCTTTGGGATGTTTCAGCGATTTGGGGGACATTTTTGGTTGACAAAACGGTGCTGGGCTCTGTTGGTATTGAATGGGTGGGGCCTGGGGATTCGACATGCCATACGATGAATGAGATATTCCTCCCCAGGGAGGAATTGTCCTGAATCTCACCTAACTTCTAAATATTCCCACTGGATACGAATGGAGGTGGAAAAGCCTGTCTATAATTAATTGAGTCCAGATCTTAAATCTTTCGTTTACATATTGTTAAAAAGAAAACCAGAGGCCCAAAGTGGTGTCACTTAGACCTTATTCCCAAACCGGTGCTCAGTACGTAATCTACCTGCAGTTCCAACCTCCCCCAGAAATGTAGGCCTAACATGTCAGTCAAGAATTTTCCAATCAGCACCCACGCGTCTGCCCTCTCCATCCTCCTGCAAAGAAAGATGGGGTAATTTGCGAGATAAGACCCCTCACTTTCACCCTGAAGGAAAGCCACCTTGCCTAAAACAATCCTTTTCTTTGGCTAATAATTTTCTTGCCCCATTGGCACATCTCTTTGGAGCCTCCTCTACTTGCAGACGGGATGGAATGCTGCCTTATCCACGAATCATTACCAATGAGAACTTTAATCTTTGCTCAGTTGAATTTCTGTAATTTGGAACAATATACACTCAAAGTAATTCTGGCACTTTTCCAGGGAAACCGAGGAAACTTTGTTTCCTTGGTTGATGGTTTCAGGAAATCAGTTCACTGATATGTAAGTTGTTCAGCTTCCACCCTCCACAGCGGATTTTGTGACTGTCACCTGCCTAGTGATTCTCCATATGGGAACAAGGAAAGCATTCCTTCTGTAGGTCTTCTAGTGCAATGGTGCCTGAATCGCTACATTTTTGAAATTATTTTATGATTATTATTTTTAAGATTTTATTTTAAATAATCTCTACACCCTATGTGGGGTTCGAACTTACAACCCTGAGATCAAGAGTCACATGCTCTACCAGCTGAGCCAGCCAGGTACCCTGAAGTTATTTTATTATTAATTCCCTTTTATTTCTCTTTTATATTATGTCACTGTATTGATTTTTAAATTGTCAGGTGGTTAGGTTGTTAAATTGTCTGAGGAGCGCCTGGGTGGCTCAGTCCGTTGAGCATCCGACTTCGGCTCAGGTCATGATCTCACGGCTCACGGCTGGTGAGTTCAAGCCCCGTGTCGGCTCTGTGCTGACAGCTCAGAGCCTGGATCCCGCTTCGGATTCTGTGTCTCCCTCTGTCTCTGTTCCTCCCCCACTTGCACTCTGTCTCGCTCTCTCTCAAAAATAAAGACAGACTAAAAAAGAGAAAAACTTAAAAGTAAATAAATAAATAAATAGTCTGAGAGTTTCACTTCAAGACAGAAGGGGCATTACAAATCTCTGCTCTAACGGGTGTCTGGGTCTGAGGGTGTTGAGAACGCCTGCTCTGTCTTCTACAATGTGCCCTCCTGGTAGCCCAGATTTAAAGAGGGGAAACTGAGGCTCGGAGAGGTTGAGGGACTGGCCCAGGATCACAAAACCGATGGAGAGTACAGCCCGGGACTCAAACCTGAAACCAAACCTTTCAGGACTTGGCAGTGCTATCCCATGGGACCGGGGGACACGGCTCTCTGGAGCAACGTGTGATGGGGAGCGCTTACCCGTCCGAGCTCCTTGTCCTCCAAGGCCAGGACCCCTGTGCTCTCTGTGAACAGCTTCACCTTCACAGCGGGCAGTGCATGAGTTGTCGAGAAGTCGCCCTGGGTGCCCCAGCTGCAGAAAGAATCAGAGAGGTCAGTGCGGAGACCTCTGCCTTGACAATGCTACACTCAGCTGCCTTCTTCCTGCGTAGGGGGAACGCAGGGTTAACCCGAGGCAGCACTGGCTGTCGCATCCCCCCTCCCCCTCACCTCTGCTCCAAAGCTGCCAGAGTGACAAAAAGTGTTAATTAACTTGTTAGGCAAATGCAAGACAGATGCTCAGAAAGTTGCCACCGGTCTTCACAGAGCTCTACAAGGAATCACTTGGAATTAGCATGAAATCGAGTTGTGGAGAACTTTTCCCATGCATTTGCAGATACTCACAAACTATTTCAGGGTAACCACTAACACTTCCTTGCATCCTTTGAATCCCTAGTTCTTGGAAACAGTCTTAGAATTTGAGACCAGGCTTCATTTGGACAAAGCCAACACCTGACTTTAAAATGGGGGGAGGTGGGGGACCCCATTTCTTCTGGCATTCAAAGATGAGTTGTATAGAGGGATGGATGAAGCTCGAAGAGGAGCGGAAAGCAGAAGAAGTGGGAAATGACCTTTCCCACTGGTCTGTGGGAATCTGAGTCTTAAGATCTCTTCAGAGGAGAGCCTGGCTTACCTAGCGTCTGGGTAGGGTGCCAGACTGGGCTGACAGGAGCTGCTGATGGACCCTCAGATGTGGCCTTTTCATCTACTCCTCACTGTTCTCACAGAGCCACACCATCCATTCTGCACCTGAAATCACTGCGATCTTCCAGAAGTGTTTACTGGACTGCACTGAGCGCCTGCCCTAAAGCCTTCCGTGGCACCTATTCCATTGCACTCAGGGTGCAATCCAGACCTCGGGGTGCAGCCTCCCACTCATCTGCTCCAGTGTCATGGGCCTCCTGATGGCACCACCTCAGGGCTGTGGCAGGCATGGTTCCCTCTGTTGGCAATGCTTCCCCCCACCTGGCTACCTCTTCAGAGCTCTGCTTCAAAAACACTTGCCCAGAGAACACATCCCTCAGTCTCCCAGTCTAAATTTGGTCCAGAGTTAAGCTCTCTGGGAGGTACTGTTTAATTTTCTGTCCTAGCAATCACTGGATTGGTAATTATTTATTTTTGTGCAATTGTTCAATAGCTGAATCCTCTGGGTGTTTGTTTGCTTATATGCATACCTACTACTTAGCATAGTACTTACACATAGAAGACACCTAAGAAATATTTGTTGAAAGAATAAGTGATGCCAATTATACACTCTTTTACAGAACCAGGAGACAGGAATAGATACAGTTTTGCATAGAGATTTTTTTCACTTTGCCTTATATGATGGCCAATTTCCATAATGGAGAAGATTCATTAAAATATTATTATTACTTTTAAGTTTATTTATGCATTTTGAGAGAAAAGAGAAAGACAGAGTGCACACATGTGAGCAGGGGAGGGGCAGAGAGAGAGGAGAGAGAGAATCCCAAGCAGGCTCCCAGCTGTCAGCACAGAGCCCGATGCAGGGCTCAATCTCACAAACCGTGAGATCATGATCTGAGCCAAAATCAACAGTCGAAGGCTTATGCAACTGAGCCACTCAGCGTGCCTAAAATATTATTTTTTAATGACTCTGTAATATAACACCTTTTAGATATGTCATAATTGATTTATTTAACCAATGTTCTGTTACTGACACTGGGCTGGACATTACTTTTTTATTTCATCTTTGATTATTTCCTTGGCATAGAGAGCTAGATGGGTGTAAGGGATGCTCCTCTTAGAATGCTTCCAGAATTGTGCTCATCAACCAAACTTTCAAGTCTTGGGACACCGATTCCCAAAATGCTTTCCCCAAAAGTGGCAACCATCCTCCCACCGTCTGGGAATGAGTGCAAATCACAGTGCCTCTTGCCTTCATGGGGCCCCTATTCACTTCTTCTTCTGGCTTACTTTGTCATTGCTGTTTTCATGGGTACTCCTTTGACTAATAGCAGCCTTGAATATTTTACTTGGTGGTGGTTGTTTGTATTTCTTCTTTTGTTTATGATGGGAATGACTTCTAGTCTCCATGTTGCACTCAAATAAACCCTGTTAACTCAAGGACATAAGGAATCTAAAGAAAGCGGATAAGACAGTGCCAGAAAAATGGAAGTCAAGGGGAGCCCAGATGGAGACCCAAGGGCACAAAAGTCACTGAGGAAGCACACTAGTCACGACAGAGAAAGGGAGAAGACATGTGAAAGGAGAGGCGACAGAACAAGAGGCAACAGGTTGCAAACACAACAGTGCAATGTTAGATGTACAGATAGAAGTTCTGAATTTTGGTCATCAGCAGCGGCAAGCAATCTCCTAAGACAGGGAAGGTGTGTACTAGCAAAGGCAACACAACAGGGCGTAGGGTTTTGAATCAGACACCCTTAGTTCAAATCCTGGTTAATCACGTATGAACTGGAGGACTTGGGGCAAGTCATGAAAGTCCCTGAACCTCAGTGTGCTCAACTATAAAATAGCCTCATTTCACAGAGTAAATAGTAAAGATAAATAAAAGTAGGGGTGCCTGGGTGGCTCATTTGGTTAAGCGTCCGACTCTTGGTTTTGGCTCAGGTCATGATCTCATGGTTCATGGGCGTGAGGACTGCATTGGGTTCCGCGCTGATAGCAAGGGTTCTACTTGGGATTTTTTTCTCTCCCTTTCTCTCTGCCCCTCCCCTGCTCACACATATTCATGCTCACTCTCTCTCTCTCTCTCTGAAAAAAAAACAAAAAAAAACACCTAAAAAAAAGATAAATAAAAGTAAGGATTTAAAAAAAAAAGTAACTAGCAGGCTTGAAACAGCATGAGAACCCAACAGATTTTGGCTACATTCCCTTCCCAATTAGGATATGTAAGATATATTCTAGTAACATGATGATCACTTTTGTGTTATCGATTCGACACATATTTATTAAGAATGTACTAAGTGTCCAACCCTGTGCTGGGCAAACAAGATAGACATTGACCTTCCTACTATACAAGGTAAGCAGTAAAACAGTTATCATCATCCCCATTTCACAGATGAGAAAACTGTGAGGAAACTCAAGATCTTGCCCATTTTATTCCAGTGAATTTTGACCAAGCTGGCTGGAACCCATATCTCTTAATTGCCATGTTATAGCTTTCACTGCTATTACTGCCATAATTATCAATAACAAGCATTATTAATAATTAGCAATATTGGCAAAAAACACAATCACTAATTTATTATTTGTGCTTAATTGTGCTATAAATCTCTTTGGGCATTTATCATGATTGGTCACAGAGATGAAGAAGATTCCTCCTGGAAACCAAAAGAGTTCTGGAATGAGATGCATTAATACCAAGCCACAGTGAGGCCTTGATCTCAGTGCCCCGGGGGTCCCACGCACTCTATCCCTAGGATACCGTTGCTGGGACTGGTTTGTAGGGCTTTTCTGGCCTGCTCAGTGGGCACTAAGTCAGTTGGCCTGCAACCCTGCAGCTGTCCAAGGATGCTCTCAGCTCATTGAATGTTCAGCATGACTCAAAGTGTGGGACAGAGTGAGGCCTACAAGACCCTGTCAAGCTGGATGAATTCAAGCCTCTGGACGCTGCCTTGCCAGCCCAGTCCACTGGGACACTGAGTGGCTTTTCCTTCCCACCAGAGCTGTAGCTGTGCTTTTGGCTCCTTCCCACCATGACCCTTGGCTCACCTCAAGTTTTTAGGTCACTGCTGATTCCCAATTTACCCATCAGATTTCAAAATGGCAACCCAGCCCAGGGAGAAGGCCAAAAAGTCTCCAGTCTGATCAGGATCGGCTATGTCATTTTCAAGGCCTGCGCCAAATGAAATGTCGGGCTTTCTATTCTAAAAGCAGGAGAAGGTGCCATTAAAGGTACTAAAAGATCAAGTGTTTTCGTTTCTCAGAGGAGTTCTGCTCAGATGCATGCTCCATTGTCCCATCAAACTTCACCTAACAAACACAGGTTCAGAGATAAAACAATGAAGAATGTCAACACAGAAATGCAGAACATTTAACCAAACATAGGTCTGAGCATGAGGCCTGTGCAGATGCATGGGTCACAAGCCCATGAATAAAGTTCTGAGTCCAATGACATCCAGTCTGACGACAGGCCATGCACTGATGATAGGCCATGCAGTGGAGACTGGCTATCACTGGCATTGACGTGAACCTTCACGCCTCACTATAGTTTTTGGATTTTGTAAAAATGACTCCTGACTTGTTTTCATAGATGCTTCCTATTTGTAGAAGACCAAGGGAGATTTAGTTATAAGCACCCTTCCCTCTCCCTTTCCCTTTTTTCCAAAGTCATGGAAATGTCCGCTTTTTGTCTTTTTCTAGCCACAGAGAGGCCTGAATATCTTTACAACAAAAAGCTAACATTTATTCAGAGATTACTATATGCTAAGCCCAAATTCTTCTCTTAAACGTGTTATTTGGTCATACACACATTTTATTCTTTTAAGTTGTCTTAGCCACCTTGTGAAATGCTTATAATTATTACTCTCACAGTTAGAGATAGTAAACTCAGACTCAGACCAGCTATAATGTGTCCAGGATCACACACAGGGAGCAAATGGCCATCTGACTCCACAACCCAGACTCAGTGATGGCGCCATATTGCCTCCCTTCCCCGTTCCACCATCTTGCTGCTCTGTGTCTTGATCCAGTGAAATCAGTTACCTTTGTAACTCAAAGGAAGAGTTCTGTTTCAGGATTGATGGGGCCCTAGGCCACTGCGGCTTCTCAGTTTAGATTTATTTCACATGTTCAATATACTTCACAGAGTACTACCTAACCGATAGACAAATTAGCCAGCAGTGGAAGCATCAAAAGGCTTGGCCTTTGGGTGGGTCCACACATCATTAAATGAATCTCTTTCTCATTGTTACATTCTTCCCTGCTCATTTCTTTTGCTTTGCTGTGCACTGACTGTGGTTATTAAGATGAATGCGTCTTCTTAAACGTTTCCCAGAACGGAAACACAATTGCACTTTAATTTGAAAAGACCAGAGGCTGATAAAATGTATT